TATCGTACAATACAAAAGGGGCAGATCCTCAAAGATATACTAGTTCGAGCAAAACTCTCAAAGCGGCTATTACACGTGGATAGGAGTTGTGTAGGCTTGCCACCCCATTGTTATCACTATTTATCAAAGACACAATTACAAGGAAAAAGTTTGCTCCTTTTCACAGAACTAGATCCACCCTCCTGCTAGATTGTAAATTTTAGGTTTTGATTAATGTAAATATGTCTTTTAATCTGGCTTCAAGCAGACATGCCCACGATAGTTCCATAGGATCGATGACCGGCCGCTGTCCCGCTCTCCTCCCTGGAAATCGACCTTATATCTGCGTAATAAATCTAGCTTTGGAAATGATTGCAGTGGGGACCGTAGTTGCTATTTCCAAAAGGGTGGAACGCAAGTCAACCAAAAATTGAGAGAATTATCTTCCCCCGCCGGAAGTTAGTCCGGGGAAGAGGGGAGCAGGGGGGGGGGGGCGAGGGAGGGAGGGAGAGGGAGAGAGAGGAGAGAGAAATCTTGTCAAATTCGCTGGTACTTCTTTACTCCAGGATCCAGGCCACCGAACTTGAAGTTCCCGAATAGTGTTTGGTGACTTGAACAGCTACGAAAGCGGGCAAGGGAAGGGGATGGGGGAATTGATGAATTCCGAAGTCTAAGAGAAACTGGAGATATTTATTAAAATTCATCGAGCGACGACAATTAACATCAAATTGCTGAATCGAAAGGTGATTCCTAAGGCCTAACATCAATTTCTGCTTTGAAAAGCCGCTTTTCATTGTTAAATAACACTGAGCAACGTCAAAAATGTCTAGAGCTCTCCATGCTTGATTCCCTGAAACTCGTCATGTGAGATGTAGCCATCCTTATTTTTGTCTTCCTCGTGGAAGATTTCTTGCATCAGGTTATCATGGCTTTCATCTCCTTCGCCATGCGACATTCCCTCTCGCCTCAAATACCCAGCGACCTGAAAATAATAATAAAAAAAAACCAGGAACTTAAGCCACAAGTTTTCAAGATGCTTAAGCCTGGCCAGTTTTCTTCCAAAAACTTTTATATTTATATGAACACAAATTTAAAGGAGGATTTGCGTCATTTATATAACACAACACCCTTTTGGCTTGATATTTCCCACATCATAAAGTAAAACCAGTACTGTGGTCGACTATTCCCAGTCTGATTAGCGACCTAAGCATTTAGCACAGGCTATGTAGGCAAATTGTACTCTCCACCATAGAGTTAAATAGAAAAGAGAAAGTCTTACTTTTATCGATATTTGTTGTGTTTTGTGAAATGTTATTTTCAATTTTCAATTTGTGGTCAACTGGAACCCTTAATTAGGGAGACTTCTTTAGCTTATGCAGTTTGTTGCCCCACTTTAGGCCATGTGATGATACTTTTGAGAATTCTTGCTTTCAAATTTTCAAATAGTGGCGTCAATATATGAATAAATAATTTTGAAATGAATAAGAGAAAAATTCTCCAGAGAATATCACTGGTCTGAAATAGGAAAACAAACCGCCCAAGCTAAAGAGGTCTATTAGGGCTCTGGGAGCTAGAGCGCACAGCCGGGGAAATTGAAATATCTTGGGAGAAGAATCGAGAAGGAGCGACAATTTTCAAAGGGCTCCGAACGGTTACCAAAGAATTCTGGGTTCCAGACCTCACACCAGCTGACCGTGTATTGAAAATTCGAAACGGGCCGCCCCAAAGCACAACACAATCAATATAAAAGGTAACTTTATCTTTTCTTCATTTTTTAATCTGATGAAGGAGCCACACGTATATATATCGACCGAGCTTACAATATAGTCGATAGATGTTCGATTTATAGTTTGGACAATTTTAACTCTTGAATTTTATTTCAAGGTTTAGGTTGCAGTTCGTTTTTTTATTCGTCCTACCTCTGAGTGTGAGATCAGACCATCTCCGTTGACGTCTATCTCCTTGAACATGTTCGGTCTCCCACTGTCCTCGCCAGGGTCGGAGATTTTTAAAAGCTCGACGTAAAACACCAAGAGTGCCCTGGGGGGAATCTTATCTCCGACGGGGTATTCCCCATATCCGTACTGGGATGGGACGACAAGCTCACGGAGTTCCCCCACACACATATCCCTCAAGCCCAGATCCCAGCCGGGAATTACTTGTCCTTCACCCAGAGTGAACTCAAATTCGCTAAAAGAAAAAGACAATTTCAAAGAAACGGTACAGTTAATAGTTCTGCGCTGCAACGAAGATCTGTTGTCGTATTTATGCCATTATGTTTACACTTATCTAACAGCAAAGAGAATGAGTTCGTAAGAACTCCGATGTAACTAGTATAGTTTCCTAATCGAGTGCCGAATGCCTGATTTAATTGTCACAAAGGCATTGAGCTTAAATTTATTAACCATGGAATCGATAAGAACTCGTAGTGAAGCGTCATGAAATAACCCTTTTCACGGTCGACTGTAAAACGAAACAGGGTAGAAACTAAACGGATCAAAAAAGGTTCCCAAATTGCCCCAAAGTTAGAGAGTATTGTAGTGAACCGTGTAAAAGGACTGCAAAACAATCGTCACAAGTCTTCCTGTCACACGGTCATGTCAAATCCAGGTTTATAATTTGTGGCCTCCCAAGTACTTTTTGGACTTTTAGCGACTACAGCAGCTTTTTTTTTTTTTCGGCTGAAATTACTACAGGCTGACGTTCTACATATCATTTTCCGCCTGGAGAAAAAAAGCTCGAATTGTAATTTTTAACGCAAAAAAAGGAAAAGAAAACTTGAACAGGCCTAACCAAATATCCACGCGAAACGATTTTCGCTATGCGAAATTGGTTAGCTTTGTTGAGCCTAGAAATTATTGGAGACCGTTAAAAATTGCTGTAAAAGCAGTGGATATAATGTAATTCATGCAAAAATGTGGCTTAATTTTACCTCGGGAACGTAGCAATACTTGGCTCTTTGTTACGGCAAATTTGGGCAAAAAGCTTTTTCAAAACACAATGAACTAAATTCAAAAACGCAACTAATTCACGGCATTAGGCAACTAAATGGCCTGAGAAAATGCAGAAATCCGCGACATACAGTTGTATGAAAGCAGCGGTTGTGCTACATGCTCGAGACAACAACGATTTTGACCAAAAATTAAAACTTACCCTGTCGATAAAACAGGTGTTTGGTCGATGAGGGTGTTGTTGTACCTCACCGTCAAATGGTCGCCATCTTTAGATTCTCTTGGGCAATGGTCGGGTTTCCGCATAATTCCAACCGACAAATGGTCTCTGTCTTGCTCGGCTTTTTCATGGCCGTCATTATGCTGCTTATGAGCGAAGGCAGAAACGAGCAGAACCGCCAATATTACTAAACCAGACAACTGCGTAGAAATCATTTCGTCCTCCGTTAATTTAGGAAACAGTGAATTGAAGTTTTGCTCTCGCGTGCAAAGAACTGAAGATGTGGAGCGACCGGAGTAGACCAGCTATCGAAAGCTGCAAGGGCAAACTAGAGCAGAGGTTTGCAGGTTGAAGATGTTACAATGAATTTGAATGAGTCCACGTAGAGCGAAACAACTAAAAGGGATAAACGTGGACAAGATTTCAATTAAAATTCATGGACCATGTCGCGTTGGCAAAGCGAAACATTCGTAGCAAGAACTGCCATGTTTCCTAGAAACGAGAGATTTAACTTTTTTTCGCAACTCACTGGGAGCTTTCCTCTTTGCAAAATACTTAAAACTCCGTAAAAATTGTGGGAGATTGGCTTCTTTATAGTGATATATAATCGCTTTAAAAGTTACAAATGAAAGTGAAATGTTCGCGGAAAGGCCACCGCCGAGAAGCTTACAACAGGCCTAATTAATAAACCCATAAAAAGAGAAAACTTGGTCGTGATCGTTACACAATCATTAACAACAGTCAAAATAATGAATAGAGGGAATAGAAAGGTCTTTCTTTTAAGAAACTCAGCGTCCGGGCATGAACAAACATTTTTCTTAGCAAGAGATGCTAAAGACTTAACTATTTCGACTTCCCGGGAGTTAAACTGCAAGTAACTGCTGAGGTGCATAAATTTAGTCCAGGCCAATTTCCACGCGACAAATCGAGGTTGCTCGAATGAACCAATTAGTAATCAGACCGGCAAATCGTAGCTTGTAAATAAAACTTTACATTCTTGTCGTAAAGAATTACCTTTAGAAAGCGAAAACATGTCAACAACGATTTCTGCATTCTAAACGCTGTAGATAACACACCTGTAACCGAAACACCATGTCTAAAAACATCGAGAAAACCATTTAAGTTAACCTGCGATCAGGCGTTCTTGGGAGCGAAAAACAAAAGAACGCCTGATCGCAGGTACAAGTACGTACAAGTGTAAACATTGTCTCGGTGACTCAAGGAGAGAAAATTGAAAATGCCGAGCTGAGAATAGAGTGGTTCATGGTTCACACAGGAGAAATAGAAAGAATACGAGGAATCAGAAAAAAATAGCCAGTTTCCTCAGGACGCGTTGACGCGTTATCTCATGTTTTCTTTTTTTTCTTTTTCTTTTTTTTGTGAAAGAAAACATTCTAAGATTTCTAAGATTTCCATGCAAACTTTATTGAGGATAGCAAAATAATTAGATCTTAATTACCATAAACTACTCTATGACCTTTACTGGCTCTATTACTCTAAAAGAATATAAACAACAACATTTGAACATTTGAAAAGACTATGAACTGCTCTGGAAGTAATTTGCATCTGCTTCTCGTGTCTTGATAGTCGCGAGCAAAATTCTTACAAACACGCGCTTGTTTTGTTTGCTTGTTTGTTTGTTCTTGTAAGGAAATTACCACGACCACTACAACTTGTAAAACACGCGCTGGTTTGTTTTGATTTGCTGGTTTTTGTTTGTTTCTGTACGTAAATTACCACTATAATTTCGTAAGAAAAGGTCTCTCATACAGAATCTTCACAAAATTGTCTTCTTTCAATTTTATTCTTGGTTATCATCACGCTGAAGTTCACAGTTCATCGTGTTTAGCTTGTTTTGGCCACCATTCCAACAACTCGCTGACCGCATCCCAGTTGATAACAAACCAAAAATTCTTCACATATGCCGCCCGACGATTCTGGTGTTGAAGATAATACGCATGTTCCCACACATCGATCACTAAGATGGGCAGAAGGCCCAGGTTTAAAGGACTGTCTTGGTTTGCTGTACCACGGATTTTGATCCCACCTTGCTCGACATCCAAGCAGAGCCAAGCATACCCTGAACCAAAAACTTCCAAGGCAGTGTTCTCAAACATTGATTGGAAGTTAGAATAACTGCCAAAGGTCTCGTCAATAAGCTGAGCGATTCTACCAGAGGGTTTTCTCTCTTCGCTGTTCGGGTTTGGAGACATGATTGCCCAATATAATGCATGGTTAACATACCTGGAAAGACAAAGAATAATTAACAATTATTCCACGAGCATGCACGAGTTAGATATGAGATGGTAGATAGCCAAAGAGGTGCATACCGCCGAGTTGGCTATAATCACGTCATATCCAACGAGCGCGAGTGGAATAATTGCCTTATCAAACAACACCACCAAAATATAGAAAACTAAAATAAAATAAAAATAGAAACGCCCAAAAACCTCACGCGTACGCTTACCATGTTTGTATAGCATGGTATAATGGCTCATAACCCATGATGGCTAAGCCAACTCTCGAACCAAATTATCCAATGATCCAGTTAATAATAAAAGCAAATATAAACTAAACCAAGAGCGGTTTTCAATTGAGTGTAGTAAAACCAAAGCAAAACCAGTTACTTACCAATTAGACTACTCAGCCAATCTGGTAAACTCCGTAGTAAACTCAAAACCAAAACAAAGTAATTTCCTGATTACTTTTGATACTCAATTGAAATTAAAGCCACTCTATAGCTAAGACATATTCCTCATCTCAGTGTTGGACTGGAACTAGCTTGCAACTGAGGCTAACACGGGGAGTCTTTTCAAATGCAAATTACATTAATCTCTTTTTAATGATATTCCTCCGCATGGGCCTCCATTACAAGCTAGTTCCAGTTCAATACTGAGAATATGAATATGGTCTTTTACCTATGTTACACCCAAAGAGTTTAGTTATCACAATTTTAATTAGGAATGACAAAACGATGAATAAATGAATGATGAAATTCCCAATTTTTTTATTTGACTTACTTTATACTTTGGGGTGTGGATTTAATACACAAAACAACAACAACAAAAAAACATTGATTTGTGTAAAGAATATGAAAAAATAACTCACCCTCCACCGTTGTTCCTAATTTTAAGCCGCCAATCAGAAGGTATGAGTTGAATGTTGTTCAAGATAGTTGAGATGGGCTTTGAGGACAGTTCTGGAGATTTGCCCTGAAATATTGGGTTAAAGAAATAAATTAATGCAAATAGTTTTTGAACAGCCCCGTTCAGGCATTTTTTTTGAAGACCATGTAAGTGCAAAATCATTAAGAAAGAGGCAACTGTCTAGAAGCATGTAAGTCTGGAAGATCTCTTTGTTCATACATCCAACAAGCTGGGAAAATGGAGAACTGGTAAGACTTCTATAGATGGTTTTTCCTAATGTAGCAAGAACTTCTTGATTTCTTAAACAACATCAGACACTGAATAGGTTTTAGGGCAGGCCAAAAAAAACTTTTTGTCCAAATGATAGATTTGCAGAATTTTTTTTTCTACTATTGGTAATTTGTTGTGGAATTAATATGAGAAGACGACAGGAATATTCGCATAGACATTATTTTGGTTGTCATAAAATTTAAAAGCCCCCAAATTAGACTTTCTTCCCTGCATGCTGTTAGTTATTGTAGTGCGGAGGGTTGCTTAAGTCAATAGAAAATAATAATCTATGGTACAGTAAAACAATATTGATATCACATCAGAGATAGACAAGAAAATTTAATGATCCTAGAGGGTATACCTGCTGGGGCATTTGCCCCAGGCATGTTCACCCTTGCTAACAAGAGGCTGGTGAGAGGCGAGACAAACACAGCACCTGGCCCTCTAGGTTGGGAGTAGGGCAAAGGGCTAATGAACCTTGCCCCCCAAAAAGCAAACAAGCTGAAAGTACTAATGGAACCAGAAATACTCTACGAGTTAGATATGACAGACAAACTTAAAAGGTGGAAGAGAATGAAGGTCTTATGAGCAATGGGCATAAAGAGAGAAGGTGAGGAGAGGTGAAAGTAGATTTTCTATTTATTACATAGACACATATCTATTGCTTGCTATTTTCACTGACTGTGTGCTGGTTCCTAATCATCTTTGTGTGTTAATAGCATTCCTTTCATGGAAAGTCTATTTTACAACAGATTGCTCAAAGTGTTGTTGGAGGTGTATAGAGACTCTAAGGAGGTTAGGAATGGCTAGAGTCATCATGTTGTGATCTTGTGTAAGGTACTTTTATTTCATGCCAGTGCAGTCTGACCACCCAAGAGAACAAAAGAATACCAGCAAAGTGTTAGCCAGGGGCAAATATGTGACAAAAATGCTGGGAGGTGACCAGCCATAGCCCTGCTTCCATTCTATTATTAACAAAAGAAACACTCAGTGTGGGACATTATGGGCATGAGAAAAGCTAGGTGTGAAAATCAACTTACAGGGACCTAGCATCCCCTCCTAGGGGAAGTAGCAAAACAAAAATACTCCCATCTATGATATTTGTCGTTAACTGGAGTTAAGGACACTTTATTTTTTCACGCACTTTTACCTCCCCCCTTCTCCCCAACCAGAGCCATTCCATTTTATATGTAGACCTTAACTACTTCCCAGGGGGTACTCCGCCCCTTACCCTTTGACAGAAAATTAACTACCCATTTCGTATACCTCTTATTGAAAAAAGGTACCCTTTTTACATAACTACTGATCTCCCGCAATAAAATTGTAGGCCATATCAAAGAGAATGATGTGGTTAAGCTTCGTCTTTGTTTATACTAACCGATTCCCGCCAGCTTTTTAACGCCGCATTTAGTTTTTTAGTGTAAGCTCCATGGTGTCCCATGTGATGGATGCGCAAGGTAACTTCGTCGATGAAAGGTTCTAAACCATCATAACCGTACGGCAAATCCGGCAGACTGTACTCTTCTTTATATTGTACAATTTCGTCGTAAGGAGTGGCGCATTTGATGCTAGAAAAATGAAGATAAAAAACGATAAAGAAACAGAAAAAACCCAATCCCTTGACGATGGAAGCCATTTTGCCTCTCTCAACCCAATCTCACGCGATCTACTGAAGTGAGTAGACTGGGTTCTAAAAAGATCTTTCGGCGAGCTCGCGCGGTTACCGATCAAAACATTGTCGATACAGGTGAAAATGCTGTGGGGGTCTGCCTTGTTTTGTAAACTGTGCTTTTCTCTGATATCCCTTGATCTTGTTGTTTGTTTGGATGACGCACTTGTTGGTCACCTAAAGCCGTTCGGTCGTCATCGAGAACCTGATGTTGTCACAGAAGAACGAGAAACAGTACCTCACCCTTCGGAGTTTTGGGCAAGTTACGTTTCACAAAACAAACCTGTCGTCTTTAGAGGAGCCGCGAAGCATTCCAGGTATTAAAAGAAAAATCCCTTTTTGTTGCTCTTTATAGTGTACTTAGAACTGCTTTTAAGTAAGTGGTGTTTGTTCGGGAAAACGCTCCGGCCAGCCGTGATTTATTCCTTTAGCTTATTCAAAAGTTTTCCAGAGTTGTTCCGCGCAAATACTTTGTAGAGTTGTTCAATTTTGTAAAGCATGCATTTTGATCTTTTTGTATGTTAATTATTATTTTGTATTTGAGAAAGCTTTGACAGAAACTAAGAGGTAAAATTTGATATTATTTTTTTTCCATTTCGCCTGCCTACATGTGGCTACAAGTTTTTGCCAAAGGGTAAATATTTACAGTTTGCAATTAACGTTATTCAACAAAGGTGTAAGTCCTGAAACAGCTGTTAACCCACTTATCTAGCTTATCATTTTAAAATATTTACGTTATAATCGTCGAGAAACTATAACAATTAGACTTTTGTTTTCTAATTTTGAAATATCAACTCGGATCGCGTGTTTGGTGTTACTGTGAACGGTTCGTGAATTTCAGTTCGATACTGAAGCGGTTGGAACTAAACTCGCTCATTCAGATATTCAAAACCGCTGCTATGATTAAGATTAATCAAAAGATATTTGCCAAGGCTAAGACATGCTAAAATTACTGAAAGATTTAATTCTGGACGTTTTGGATTTAATACTTGCTGTTTGAGAGTCATCATGATGCCATTATCAAGAGAAAATAAGTATCAGAAAGCGAATATTTAAGTAGGCGATAGCTGAAAACTAACATACTAATTAGATGGCTAAACAAACGCTTAAAGTCAATTTGTGCTTAAGTGTTTGTTTAGCCATCAAATGTATGTCAGTGTATGTCAATTTTAAGCTATGGCATACTTAAATATTCATTTTCTTATACTTTTTTTCTCTAGATAATGGCGTCAAGCTGACTGTGAAACAGCAAGTATTAAATCTTTCAGTAATTTTTGCGTAATTAAAATTGCCATTTTTCAAAGGATTATTAAGTCAGGTCAGGGAAGGGTTTTTTCGGGATATTTTTTAGGGGGTTGGGTGTGGGTGTATTAACCAAGTAGGGGACNAAAGCGAATATTTAAGTAGGCGATAGCTGAAAACTAACATACTAATTAGATGGCTAAACAAACGCTTAAAGTCAATTTGTGCTTAAGTGTTTGTTTAGCCATCAAATGTATGTCAGTGTAAGTCAATTTTAAGCTATGGCCTACTTAAATATTCATTTTCTTATAGTTTTTTTCTCTAGATAATGGCGTCACGATGACTCTGAAACAGCAAGTATTAAATCTTTCGGTAATTTTTGCATAATTAAAATTGCCATTTTTTAAAGGATTATTAATTTTGCGGGGCAATTTGTACAATTTTTTTGAAGGGCATATGAGTTGTGGACAGAAGATTTTTTAATCTCAGAATATGGGAATCTCACTGTGCGGCTCGAAGCGCGAGCTNGGGTTTTTTCGGGATATTTTTTAGGGGGTTGGGTGTGGGTGTATTAACCAAGTAGGGGACTTATGTCCTATTGTTAAGCACCTGTACTTATACGAATCCTAAAATAAATAAATAAATACATAATTTTTCAGGGCAATTTTTACAATTTTTTTGAAGGGCATATGAGTTGTGGACAGAAGATTTTTTAATCTCAGAATATGGGAATCTCACTGTGCGGCTCGAAGCGCGAGCTGAAAGTAATGACAGAGCACCAGTTGGTGAAGCTGGAATTCTTGGTAGGGATACAATAAAACATTTTATACACAACTACCAGACTATGGATGCTTACGTGATTTCACAGATTCCGCAGCCAATGGAAAGAGATATAGGAATACCCCCATGTTTAAGGTAATGTCATGTGGGAATTAATTTGTGTGTCTGTCAATAAATTCTTCAGTCAGTGAGTCAGTCAGTCAGTATGTGTCAGTCAGTCAGTCATGTGGCTTGTTGGTTGGTTGTGTAGTCGGTCTGTCAGTGAGTCAGTCGGTCAGTCAGTCAGTTGTTCAGTCAGTCACTCAGTCACCTAGTCACTCAACTTGTCAGTCGTTGGTTTGCCGGTTGGTCAGTCGGCCTGTCAGTCAGTCACAGGGTATAAGTCCTTTAGTTGGTCAGTCAGTCAGTCAGTCAGTCAGTCAGCCAGCCAGCCAGCCAGCCAGCCAGCCATCCAGCCAGCCTAAAAAAATTATAATAACCAACATTAATTACAATTATTTTGTCACCTCAGATGTGGGTCATTTTCAGAAGCTATTCAAGAGGTGCATCTGTTTCTCAGTGCTCGTGGCGGCCAAACAAAACTGCACCAGGATCCATACAGTAACATACATTGTATATTTAATGGCACCAAAGACTGGCTTCTAGTTCACCCAGATCAAACAGATCTTGTCTACATGTCTGATGACTCCAAGTTTGAATGGGGAGGATACTCAGAGATTAATGTTGATTCAATTGACCTGGAAGTATTTCCAAAGATCAAAGATGTGCATTATTCTAAAGTAACAATGAATAAGGGCGACTGCATTTTTATGCCTGGAGGTGAGACACATGGGAAATGTTTTCTTTTTTCATGTAAAAGACATTCCTGAAAAACAATAAGTAAACAGGGTATGAGTATAATATTAACTTGCTAAAGATAATAAACTCTTGTTATAGGCTTGCAATGCGTGCAAAGGACTACAGAGTCTTTGTACACTTTTCATATATAAGATAACTAATTGGATGAGGGTCTTGGTGACATCCAGAATAATCAAAGGCAAGGTCAATGTTCTGGACTGAAGCTGAAGATTGAAGCTGATAACACTTATTAGTATCAAGACCCTTGCCTAGTTCCTAAGCCTCAATATTTTGCGGCATTCAATCATTTCGGGTCAGTATTCCGGGCCCTTCATTTCGGATACGTCATTGAAATCAATTGAGCATGAAGGCCTAGGGGAAAGCTGTACAGAAACTAGGCAACTGAGAACCTTAATTTATTTCTGGATCTCACAAAAGCCAGATTATAAAAAGGGGAAATTGAAATCAGTGTCAGCAATTTACAGGAGTGAAATCAGTTTTGTCTAAACATTGAATGATATCTACTATTGTTATTTACCTTTAGTTATATATTTTTGACTTGCCTGTTCGGAAATGCAATCACAATACATTTTGCACGTTTGCAGCCACACTATACGCATGCCTATGCACTTGTAGCTTTGTAACTTCTCTCGACAGTAGACAAAATATCCAGAATTATCTGCAGCTCACAAAATAGAGATTGAGATTTCAAGGTATAGTAATGCAACTCTTTATGCAGGTTACTGGCACCAAGTACGTTCATGGGGTTACATGAATTCTGCCGTGTCCATTTGGTTTTCACAGTTGAAACAGTTTTTGGACAAAGGCTGTGATGAAGCAAAAATTTCTTTTACACCCATGAACAAAGTGATGGTGTTATGGCAGTACTCTGGTCATGGCGAACTTACTCAAGGACACATGGATATTCACATTTTGAGACGGTTCTTGTTGACATTATCTGATCGAGAAGGAAAGATCTGGCTGAATGATTTTGTCACAAATTACTTTGATAGTGAGAGTAACAAGAGAGATGTCATGAGAAAAGACGAGCAGGAAAGAGCAAGAAAGGTAACAGACATGCAGACACCTTACATAATTATAAGAAACTAGTATCTGGAGCTATCCTCTCTCATGTGAAACTTTGGCAAGAACTTTAAAAGTGGCTGACGGCTTGCAGGGTATTTGCAACCTTAGAAACAAGAAGAAACCTAGGCCAAATCCTGGGGGGGGACCCCCTTATAAAAAGGACGGGAGTGCTTGTCGTACCTTTTAGGGGTTAAAAAGGCACTTTTGGTACCTCTTAGGGTGTTAAGCCTCAAAAGGTCCACAGCAGGAGCTTTTGCAGCAACTTTTAGGCTATTGAGCTGAAAAAAACATGATAGGAGATGTTTTGTTTTAGAATTGGTACCTATTAGGGATGAAAAAAATTCAAGCCACGACCACACAACATGATCTTGGTACCAATTCTTAGGGGTTCTTTTCAAAATTTCCGATGAGCAGCCCCGCCCTTTTTATATGGGAGACCAAATCTCATCACACAGTGGCTTGTGGAATCATTAATGGCTACAAAGCAAAAGATAGTGTAAGAAGCCATATTGTCTCCAGTAACGATCCCACAAGCAACTGCGTGGTGAGACTTGCCCTAGATTTCCTCTCGTTTCTAAAGTTTTTTTAAATTTTTTTTTATTTGCAATAACACAAGGGAAACCAATGCTTACTTACAACACTAACTCTATTTACATTATATTGCTCTAATTATTTACACTATTTAAATT